TGCCTTAATGGCACAGTGGTAATGGAAAGAGGAAAAAAAGAACTGAACACTGCCTTAATGGCACAATGGTAATGGAAAGAGGAAAAAAAGAACCGAACACTGCATTAATGGCACAGTGGTAATGGAAAGAGGAAAAAAGAACTGAACACTGCCATAATGGCACAGTGGTAATGGAAAGAGGAACAAAAGAACTGAATGCTACCTTTATTCCCTGCTTTACATTGCAGCAGTAGCGCCCCCACTCATCCAGAAAAGCTGACAAATTTTAATGTTTATAGCAAGATACCGAAAATTGTGAAATATTCTCTAAATTGAAAAATTCCGAGGACCTGACAGTTGAATTTTTGGTGACAGGCTGGGTGGGGAGCTTATGCCCTCTACGAATGTTGAAACGTTCAAGCACAGGCTACTCCCTAGGATAAAACAAAATCCATACAAGTGTGATTCTTTCGCCATTGACCGCAATTTGTAGATGGATACACCTGTTCTGATGCATATGTAAATCTAGCTTGAATATATTCTTGAGGTTGGTTTTCCTCAAGTGTTGACTGCAGGGTTTGTTAGAGCTGGGGGAGGGACTTACACACTCCCCTGGTTCTTTTTATCATCGTTAATTCTATTTGTTTTTAATGATATGGTGCTTTGGCATTACATTGTTATGATGTTTAATAGTCATTGTCTTTTATTTTTTTATATTGATTTTCCTACTGGTGCTTGCATATTGGAATATTTCTATACTTATTGTGTTGTATATTTTAATATAAATTTATTTAGTTGCATATTATTTTTGACTATTTCAATATTATTAGATGGCCCATTGAAAATCATCTGTTTTTTTATATGACATGGTTACCATCTGTAAATAAAGGTACTATTCTATAAAACCGAACATTTGGAAGTGTAAATATAGGAAGGTTTGCAGATATGTTTGACTTAAAGTACACTGAAATACATGTACATGCAAGGTCTGAATATTTTATGTCTTCTGTTTTCATATTGAATTTTATTTAAATATATGCAAATGTGCTGTGCCCTCTGACTTTTTTGAAATTGCGCAATCCTAACCTTTAAATATAAGTTCCGAAATGATATCTATCAAGAGGCAATTGGCCTGGTGGTTAGCTAGCTGGCTGCCAGGCCAGGGGATCCCGGTTCAAATCCCGGAGTCCCCGGAAAAGGAGGTTTTTTTTTTTTTTTTTTTTTTTTTTTTTACTAAGTTTTTTAACAAAATTGTGCATGCCCACCTGGAATTGAACCCAGGCCCTTGTGCATAGCAGTTAGTGTCCTTAACCGCTATGCCACGGCACTTACTTGAAAAAATGTGCTCGTTTCTAAATCTTAAACCTTCCATTGTTTGGACTTAGAATATTTTTCAGCCAAACTGTGTACTGGAGATGGGCAAGGGTGGAAGTCCCAGGGCCTAGAAGTCTGAGAGCTGATAGGAAGGGTAGAGTGGATGGCTTAGGGCTTGGGACTATCAGTATTAGAGCTCTGAGGATCCCATGGGGTTGAATGAAGGACATGGCTTCTTCATGTGCCATATTGCTTTTGGGTTTAATGTAGCCCTTATAAGATTGAGACTAAAGGCTCCAAGAGGGAACTTTATCTAAGGAGCTTGGAATACGTTTAAAGACTGGCAGGGCTTCCATGTAGGAGGCTGTAATGTAAAATCTGAAGATGGAAACAGATGTACCGTAAACTCTGGCAGTGTGAAATGGTCCAGATTAGGAGAAGGGTTAAGTGGCAAAGTACTACAGTTTTACAAATAGATATACATGTACAAACAAGTTGTTCATGTCGTGCTAATTTAAATAAATGAGCATTTATTTCACTTGCAAATAGAAATTGACTGGTTATAGCAATAAATGGTGATTATTTTACATACACACAAAGCATTTTTGCAAGGTAATATTTTCAGATGAAACAAATTTCACAGAGTAAGGAAGGCCCTTCAGAGAGTGTTTTCAAATATTACATTTTTGCAGTAATGACCTTTCAGTACTGAGCCAACAATTCACAACTTCCAGTTTTGTGATAATTTTAAGTGAAAGACTTTTTTCTAATGGCAATTCTCTGGCAATGTGGATGTACAACTTGGACAATACAAACTGCACATAGAATTTTGCCCCAGGAAAAGCTTATAAAGAACAAAGAAATTGACTGGAGTGGGACCTGCGACCTCTGGAACACCGTACCAGTGCTCTACCAACTGAGCTATCCAGCCCTATGTCGGTGGTTCTTCCATTTGTCAATATCTCTGTTCGGGGGGCGAACTTGTTAAAAGTGAGCTTCAGAACAGCCACTGAGTTGACTAAAACAGTGCTGGTATTTTGGCTGCCTGAATGGGAACACCATTCAATAGTTACAAGCTTTTAGTTCTCAAAAGAAGTAGCATCAAAGCAGAAGTACATGTATAGCATCTTGATAACTTGAATGTAAACATGAATATTTTAAAATGTGCATTAATACATGTATGAAAAGAAACAAAATTAAAGGCGAACAATAGTCTTTCTTCCAAAGCAAACTGATCAATTGTCTATTCAATTTACAGAGTACCTCTCTAAGTCATGAATAATTTGGATGTAAGTACAGTAGGCTTCCTAAGTTTCTGTGCACGTTTACTGAACATCACAAATTTTCTTTAAAGAAAAGAAATTAGGACTGATGACAGTCATTCAAAAGTTAAGATGTCAATTAACTCCGAAATACGAGCAGCCATGTTGTGAGCCCACAGCAAAACAAACAGCTGTACAAGAGAATCTGTTTTACATGAACAAGAACACACACATATGTATGTGTAACAACTGACATTTCAACACAGGAAATACCACCCTCTTTTTTCTGCAAATGGCACTCTTTCTGTTTGGGCAAATAGTGCCCAATTTTGCCGGGAATTTTTCCCCATCTTGGAACAGTTTTTGTAGCTCCGTGGTATCACTGAAACTGCAATAGTTTGAGAGGTACATGTATGCTACACCAAGCACGTTGTGTATGGATCCTGCGCTGTTCATTATAGCAGCATTAATGTACTCTATACCAATATACACTAACAAATTAAAGGATCAGACGTTTGTCTTTGAAAACTTCAGCCAGGTGTATACTTCATGGACTGTACTTATTGTACACTGAAGCTCATGTTCATGCTTGGTTGAGCACCACAGAATGTGAGACAATGCAATTGGTTAGTCTTGTTTCAGATCCCAATTAGCTGGAAGGGTAAAAAAACATTTGAGTGATGCATTAAATGCTCAGGTATTACACATCTTCAAAATGGCCACCTTTCACTCTCTTTGCACGTATATTAAGGATGGGATGACTGTGAGGCAAGGGGATGAGAGACTGGGTGTGTCTTAGAGAGTTGGGGGGGGGTTACAATGACATGAATGAGACTGGCCAGTACTATAAAAACCCTATTGTGGTAAAATGATGTACACGTATGTGTCTCACTTCAGGACATTTTGAGATAAAGTGACTGAAATATTGGACCTCGTACCATTTCATTCTAACCTCTTACTGATATCATTCTAACCCATAAACAGTGCCCTCGCATCAATCTAACTTATAAATAGCGCCCTCACATTACTTGGTTCAAACTCAGTTTTTTATACATCATTTTCAGGGCCGTAAAGGACCTGGACAAGGTGATGATCAAAGTTTTTTTTTTCAGCGTCGTGAGACTTCAGTAGTCTGTAGCAGAAATTTCTTGTTTTGATGCCAGAAAATAGCCAAACTAAATGACTCATATTTTGCGATGTGAATACCATTTGTTGAAATTATTATTCACTACCTATGATCCTTTGAATAGTGTACAAATGCAGATAGACTTGCTCCATCACTAAGGTGGAAGCAAGGAACTGCATCTCTGAGAAGATTGAGTCCTTTCCTTGCCTTTTTGTGAATCAATGCCTAAGATTCTGATGAGGATCCCTCATGCAATCTTGGAAACTGTTCCTCCTCAGTGATGGAGGCAAGGACTGGCATCTATCTGAGTTACTTCCTCTCCTTGACATTCTCACGAATCATCTCTGTGAAGTCCCATAGGATTTTGTCCTCCATCTTCCTTCTCTCCAGGATGAAGGAGGCGAGGGCGCTCTTCTCATCAGCATCATAGTCTGCTTCTCCTGGGGCATACCCACAGCTTTAATATGAAGGGGTCTGGGGAAGAAATTAATCACAAAAGGAACTAAATAGCACCAGAAATTGAGACATTTCTTAAAAATTTATAAGATCCTTGTTCACTTCTTATTTTTACACCTTTTATTTCATTAAAAAACTATTCGTGTCTATTGCTTTTCATCCATTTTCATGTTAGAAAATGAACTATGACAAGAGGATTCCTCTGACACTGCTGACCCATTACTTCAGAAAGCATTTGTGATTTGTACTCTGTCAAAAATATTTTTTCAGACACCCCTTTAGGGTTTAGTGAATCAAAAAGTGACATTTTTAAACACTTAAAATTGTGTTTCCCTTTCCTAACAAGTGAGGGCGATGTTTTACAGTAATACTGTAACGTCAATCAGGGAGAACCCCAAAACTAAAATATCTATGGACCAACAGCTCCTACAGAAATCAACGATTGATACCGAAAGTGTGGGCAGAAATATTTCAACAGTGTGCACAAGTTTGTTCAGTTGGATACAAATCAGAAATTTTGGATAGTGACTGAAAGTACTGTTAAGAGTTTACAACGTGGTCCCTTTTTGTGTTTTCGTTCAATATTTGTCAAAATTAAGGTAGATCCTTCTTTAAATAAGAGCTCTGAACACTTAAATTTTTGTCCATATTAATCGCTCACTTTCAAAAAGCCTAAACAAATCCCCATAATGTATTTGATTTTAATTTTTTGACTTTTTTGGAAATGTTTTGGAAACACAGTTCTCAGTGTTCTATCTGATAAAACTTGATAAACTATATTAAATTTGCTTTTCAAAATATTCACTAAACAGGGATGTCATGAATTTATCTGAATTTCACCTAATGTGCACCTTGGCTCCTACTAATGGCTTGTAATAATGGGCAACATTATGAGGAAGAAAAATTGAACTGCGCCTGGTTAGAACTTTAATGAAAAGACCAACAGGGCCAAATAATGTTCGATGGACAATTGCCACAGTTGCCCTCAATCCTTTTCTTTGATGTAGAGCAGTGCTGCACAGGAAATCATGAAACCCCAGGGAACAAGGCAGCCATTTGCTCTTGGTTATTAAACATTGAGACTTTCCTTAAATTATGCTTCTGCTGTTGTTGGTCTAAAGGTATTTTATGTCTATGATTAGACGCTTCATTTCATGAGTTTCATTATTGAAACTATGAAACCCAAATTGCTCCTAGAACATGTTGACCATGTCTCCGGAAATATGGACCATTGATCAATGGTAATTTGTCATGAAACAGCAATGAACCATGAAGGAAAATGAACTTTAGGCCAGGGCAATGTGAATAATTCCAGTATAGTGCATGCATTCAACTAGCTTGCCCTGGTTACAAGGGTTTAACCTCATCCCTATCATCTTTACTTGGTTGACACAATGCACACAACCATCCCTAGGTTAGGGTTGCTGCTAGCCACAAGCACCCAAGGGTGGATCCAGGACCCATTTTTTTTTTCAGGGAAGGGGGACAAACTTGATTCTGGGGACCATTTTTTTTTATTTTTTTTATTTTTAAAGTTGTTTGAGGGGTTAGGCTGCATTTCTGCTTTTCAAAAGAAGGGAAATTAAATAGACCAAAAAGATCCTTTCATTTTTTCAAATGAAAACAATTTTTGCTCCCTTTTTGGTCATGACCCCAATTGGCCCCTCTGCCCTTTCCCGGATTCATCCTTGCAGAAAGCCACCAATGATATGAAACAGAGGACTCTTACCTGTGCTACTTATGGTGTAACCTGCCTCTTCAATTTGGAGATTTCATCGGTCAGTCCACTCGCACCATGATGCTAGCCAGCCTCAACGTTGATGTAGGCAGCCATGGCAGTACATTCACCTGGTTATGAGGCCTTCCCGAATCTAAACATGGGAAAATGACAAAAAAAACAACAAAAAAGTCACGTAAGGTTTTTCAGTCACACTCTAATAATAATTTCTTCCCCTAATGAGCAAAACATCCATAGACTCTTATCGTGGGTCGCTGTTAAATCCATAATACCATACAGTGCTGGGGAGTGCAGGGTGTAACAGGCTGGGTGGGGTCAGGGCCCAATTTCATTTCCACACAGTCAAAAGAAAAACCGCGCTAACTTTAGCAGAAAAATGTGATAACCTTGAGCACTATTTCATGGCGATGCTCGGGGTGGTTGTTCTAACGGTTGCGTGCAGATAGAGATTTCTGTTGTTACGTCACCAAGTTTAAGCAAATCTTTCCTCCAAGGTTAGGATGCATTTGGCTGTACTTTATACTGCTTACTGTATGCATGAAATACGCAGAGCCTCTGTAAGGGTGAAATCGCATGCTAAGCACCACTGAAAAATTGGGCCCGACCGTTACAAGCAAAGTCCCCTATGATCTGAAAATCTAGTTCTGATCAGTGACCTTTCCACTCTACACAGAAAATAAACAGGAAGACTGCCATAGCCACTCATAACCACAATCAAAGTCACCCTTGTGCGATCTTGATTTCCATGACTTTTCTTCAGACCAATTTTCCATGAGTTTCCAAGACTTTCCGGGCCAAATTTTTCCCCACAATTTTCAATGACTGCGAGCACCCTGTACAAGGACAAATGGGTTAAAAGTACTGTACAGTCTATCATTTGCAGTTATCCAAAAGGTATCCAAATTTGTTGTTGAAAAGCACACTTGGTTTAGATAGAGGACTAAATTCTGTGAGAAACTCCTTTCCAGCAAACAGTCATCATGAAGAAACAATGATTTCAATCAGGCACCTTCTCAATTTTTTGAGAAGGTGCCTGCTGGTGTCTGCCTGTTCAAACACTAGCAGTTTCTGTCATATCATCAGTTCAGTTCAAGGTGTAGCTGCATTTGACTGAACATGAGAATGTTTCCCAGATGCTGAATTCAGACACAATGTAAAACACGACTTAGCAACTTTTGATCTGAAATCTAAGTCCTAGAATAGTTTTCTCAAAATATGGAGCATTCACCTATTAAGCTGAAACTTCATCTTCATCAGGTTTGTTCTTGTGTTCCCTTCTTTAGATTTTGAGTAATTTTGTTGCTGCAAAGGAAAACAATCCACAAAAGACAAATGGTGGGGACTGTACCTTTAAACAAATTGTTGCGACAACCAAAAGCATGACTATACTACTGACGTAAAACAAGAGATGGCTTACTCTACAAGGGCTGTGAAGCCAGAAGATGAACCAACGGGCAGGGGACCAACCATGCTGTTATCACCTTACTCTATCAGGCCAGTGATGCCAGAAAATGAGCCCACAGGAAGGCGACTAATATGCTGCTATCATCTTTTAACACCTGGTAAAAATACAGTAACAAAAAGGGAGCAGTTATGTCTGTATGCATTGTAATAAATGTACTTTAGTTTGAGCATGACTCCAGGAGAGTTGTGGATTTTACGGCGATGTCCAAAAGGTGTTGCTAAGGCCTGATGATTAAAGCCACAAGTGGCTTCAGTCATTTGCCACGGACTTATGTAATTCTGTCAGCCTAAGCCGGCTGATTTGGAAAAGGTCCATCTTCAGCCAGTTGATACATGTACAAACAACAGGAGGTAACCCATGTCCTGCTTTCTCAACTCAACAAAATGTGAAAACTCTGGCTGCATGAGTGGAAATTTCTTGAAGAACTTCTGAATTTTACCCTAAAGAGCTAGGGGAGGGGAGAGGCAATCTACCTCCCTTTAACATATTTTCCAGAAGCCTTCTGGATTTTTTTGAATAACTCCTTTTGGTCATTCTGACACCATTTTTGTGAAAATCCAACATACCGTTCTCGCACAGCACTATTTTTTCTGAGAGGTCAACCAAGAACGTATTCTTTTCCGGATCCGCTGCCATTCCCAACTTCCAAGTGACTGTCAAACCTATTAAAACAGATTGAGATAAAACTTATTTATTTGTACAGGTATTGAGAAGGGATGTCATACATCCATGGTCTCAAGGACTAGGCCTGTGAATTTTATTCTTGTAAAGTGTGTAGAATAATAAAAGCAAAATCAATTGTTACTCCATTAATGTCATCACTGTGACGTATAGGTGTGCCAGCGATTCCTCGACGCTTAAAGACTAATTTATTGATGACACACAAAGTCGGAAAAATAAACGGATTAAAGCGACCAACGTGCACTCAGTATCACGTGCCACCGCACCCACTTGTTGTTTGCAGTGTGTCTGTCCATAGTCGGTCCACCATATATCTTGTGTTCGGTCAATATTTTCGATATCGCAATGCAGCATGAGTCTTGCGTATAGTAACTTCATGCAGGGGATGCCTGGCTTATAGTCACAGGAAAAAAAAAGGAAAGGGAAAAGGGCGCTGGGCATGAGGGAGGAGGCAAAATGAAAAGAAATTTTTTAAGGAAGCAAAAACCAGGCCACAAGCCTTAAAAAGGCGTCCGCTTTCTATCAGCGAGGATTTTTTTCAAAGGGTTGACTGAAATGAGAAATCAGTAGTGTGGGGAAGTATGCGAAACTCTTTTTTACACAACACCCTAGTTATGATCTCGGCTGTGGAATTTTTTAGAGGGATTGAAAATCTGACATTTTAATGGGAAAAGCTTCCACGAGGCGTGAAGACTAGTCACTATCTGGAAAACGATTTTTCCTATAGGAAAGTACGTGGTGTTTTCTGAGACAGTTGTGTCATTAAAAAATCCCAACACTAGATTAAAATAAGACTTTATGCCATCATGAATATCTTTCATAAGTGCAAGACAGTTTTCAAAAGGATTGCCAATGGGACAGGCAGAGTCTCCCCCCCCCCGTAGTGAAATGGTCGGAAATGCTTTCTTTGAGTTAAAAGAACAGGGCATTCCACTGCAGAACATTAAAACCACGTAAAACCATACTGAAATTGGAGGATTTGGGACGGTAAAAGTTTTAACCATAAACCATCTGCTTTTATTATTACATGATTATAATATCAATTTGTACAATTGAAGTTAATTCATAGCTAGATTTTCTTAAACATACACTGTTTGTAAAACATTCTCCACAAAAATCAACTTGCTGTCTTTATTTTTTTTTTACAATGACAGATTTGACGTTTCAGATAGAAAACTAATTATTTCACATAATCGGAAAATAAAATGTCAAGTCTAACAGCTGCCAAAATACAACTAGTACAGTCTCAAACATGAAACCAACCCACAACAAATGAAATAAATTTCAACATTTGAATATAAACAACAACCAGTTTTACATACAATTTACATCTTCACATGAACACAATTGTCAGTGGATTTTGTTTTGTTATCGATAAAAGATATCGTCATAGAAACATATACGTATTCACAACACGAATGGTATAGAGTAGACAATAATATAATACTGTTAGAATAGACTCAATATATTTATGGTGATTTTTTTCAGAATAATTTTGAAGCCAAAATATGTTTATGAACATTATGCACAACGCATCTTCAACTGTTTTCAGGCTTTTTTTTTTACCCGCACACACCGTTTCTACTTGCCAAGACTGTTCAAAATGCAACAACCCTGAAAAAAGAAATCATAACAAAACAGACGAAAGAAAAAAAAAAAGAACACTGTAAATATTAGTTTGAATGCAAGGAGGCCTGAAGGGTTTGCATGGCTGCCATCTTGCAGGTCAGTGCTTTTGCTCAGCAGGGTAGGCGTAAAGAAGGTTTCCCTGTAGAACAAAGGATCTGCCCGGCAAGATGGCTACCACGTAAAGACTGATGGGTTTTAGAATGAATTGGTTACAACAAACTGACACCTATATTCACGTAGCCAATAGCCATATACTTGCCGGGTTACGAGTGTAATTGTACCAGGAAACCCTTTGGGCCGGCCAAACACATTACAGTTCCGTCAAATCCACAAGTGGTTCAATGGCTGCATGCAGGATTGTGGAATAAGAGGCATGGGTTCGATTCCCGCCCAGTCCGACTTCACTTTTTCCACCCAAGACAGGTCACCAAAACAGCTCCCTGTTTGTTCCTTAAAAAAATCTTCTTGTAGCTGTGCCTGGAAACCCTTTAACTTAGGAAAATCATACAAGTTTCACTTTGTGGAACAGAAACACACTTAATGTGCGTGTGCAGTGCTCGGTCACAGTTTGTGAAAACTAAGATTAAGGCCAGTTGTTGATGTCAGCGATAAAATGCCCTGTCTACAAACAACGTACGGGCCGCTGAGTGAAGCAGAACTAAATATGTGCATCAGTGGCAAAATGGGTGCAAGGGGGTTGCAACCACCACCGATCTCGAATTTTGCGATCAGGTTTTTAAATCAGGCTTTAGGATTTTTGTAAGACTACTCCTCGCATGTGGATGCCATAGCAACCAACCGTCATCCGCCTCTTCATCATTCCGGATGCTTTAAACAACTGCTTCAATCACCTCAATTACAAAACTAGAACAAATTTCTCAGAAGTATGTATGTCTATGTACAAAGAAAGATAGATGAATAATACACGGGGTGATTCATTTTTCAAACCTCCGATTTTCGTTACTTAGTCCCCTGTAGCTCTGTTTGAGGTGCCCGATCCGCAAGAGTCCCACTCAACATGAGCTTCTGTTCAGCTACAGGAACACAAGCCAGTACACAAACACTGAGTGTTTCACATTAATGCCCTAGTGATGGCAGACGTCGATGCCATCTCTCACTGAATGCAATCAGTCCTTTCACTGTACGCATGTGAAACATTAAGTTTGTTTCACACATCGCCTGACTGAAATCCTGACAAAAAATCCCCACCTGAATAAATAATCGCTCCATCACTTACGAGTTCAGACAGATCTCGTGACCGTTTAGTAGAACATTCCATTTTATAGCCTTGAACACAACTTCTGTCGGTGTGGTGCAGCTGTGCTAGGAATTGGGATGAAAAAATTCCACGACACGTGACCCACAGCCTACCAATCAGATGGCTGGAATTTTATTCAGGTGGGAACGTATTCAAGCTCAAACTGGAGGCATACAAATGATTCTGGGACCACGGATGAAACAAGCTTTTTGAAAAGCGCTTGTGCTATCGACTCCTGACAATCATATACACCATAGAGAAATACGCCATAACACATTTACAATATTTTAAGATGGTATTCCATTTTACAATTTCTTTACAAACCGCTTTACTCATATCTAGGTCTAGTTATATTTAATTAAAGCTTGTCGTTACTAGGATACACTGATGTTTATGTCTGCTCGTCTTTGATAAAGCTTTGCCTCCAAGGCTTTTCATATTTTATGTCCAAATATTCATATTTGAATTTCAGATTCATGTGACGCATAATTCGCGCACGAAAAAGATGCAAGAGCTGCAAACACAACATAGTCAATTAATTTTCTTATTCATTTTTCAAAAATCGTGTGTACATATTTACAAAGGCTTTTGTTTGGAGGTTTGCCCCTTGCTGAGGACCATTTGGAAACACTGCCCAGATTTGCGAAGAGATTTCACCAGTGACCCCCCCCCACTGAAAAAAATGGAGGAATGGTTATGGAACAAGGCTAACAAAACCTTGCCCCCAAAAAACACACCACTGAAAGCTGGTACCCCCCCATAAGATGCTACTGCCTTTTGTGCCCCCCCCACCAGTAAAATCCTAGCTACGCCACTAGATTTCACAGCCATTTACGACAAAGAAAACATCTTTGTTGCCTGAACATCAAAAGTGCCAGAAAAATGGAAAGAGTATCCCCTCTGAAACAAGGTATTTCCACGAGATATTATTTACAATTTTGTCAAACAAACAAGTAGCAATTATTCACTTTGAAAAAGCCACAATTGGCTGATCAACGGAAGCTTGTGCCAGCCAATTCCACTAAGCCACTCCTGGCGATAAGCTATCAAAATAAACAAAAACAAAAACAAAAAAACGGTGCACATAAACTTCCTCAAGTCACAAGTTCACAACCTGTACAACACTCAAAAACTACTGCCGAGATTATGGACACAAAATAAGAATATATACACAGGCCATCTTATTTTGAGAATTTTTTTTCCCTCCAAGAAACTTTTAAAATTCAACGCACAGACAACCATTACACTCACCATGTGTGTATTTGTACCTCCGATCCGCACACTCCCCCGCCCCACAAATCTTGAGGGCCAAAGCTTGTTCTTGAAAATTAATCCTGTCAGTAGTGCAATTACACTTTGGCGACAAATATCTTCAAACATTATGTACATGTGTAATACCGCATCCACAGTCACGACATTCAAATGATGGAGACAATACCCTGCACCTCTACTGTGGTTTCCTAAACCCTTGTTTCCTGGCGGAAGAAAACAGAAAAATAGAAATTCCTATCTTGTTTAAAATGTACACACGCCGTATGTCTGCGCCTGCACGTTGTAAAATACATGTATGAGTATGTATATTTACAATGAAGAACCTCAAAATCTGATTTTAATGCAAGATAATGGAGTGATGGTATGCTTTTTTTGTATTTCTTTTTATGCGCCTACAGGTTCATATAGGCCTTGAAGATTCTGACAGCTTTCTGACATGGTTCAAGGTGAATCGTCTTTACTGTTTTTCATCATGCCCCGAATTTGAGCCTCTGTTAAGTAACCACCGTTCTGATCCGCGGGGGGTGCACTTGTAGTCCCAACAGCGTGCTGTGGCGTATTATCACTGGGCTTAGGGTCTGCGACATCGTGATTCACTCCATTGCACATTGCCTTTTGTGCTATGGCAACAGCCGCCTCGGCCATCTCATCCGGGATGACATTATTCCCAATGGAGAGATCTTTGCCATTGTGGCTGCTGGAACCCAGTGCGACAGGGGCGGCCGCGTCGGTGGGTGCAGTCAGGGTAGCCAGCTGGTCTGGTGTGACGTAGGCATGGCTGTGCTTGGTTGGGTCAGTCACGCCGTCTTCGTCATCCCTAATGCCGCCATTTGCGGCACGGCCTACGATTGGTAGTAGGGGCTGGTCCATGGTGACGTAGCCCCCTTCCTTGTTTGCCTGGAGGGACCCTGCACTGGGTTTGAAGCCTGCGATGGCATATGTTGGGCAACCCTCCTCATCAGACTGAGAGGAGTGTCCGGACGTGTCACTGTCATTCATTACCAGTGGAGTCAGCTCGCCTTGTGAATCGCCGTTACTGGGCAAGAGTGGAGTTGGCTCGCCTGGCAAATCGCTGTTACTCAGCAAGACAGGTGACCTCTCATCGCTTTCGCTGCTGGGACTACTCTCGACAGCCGGCCATTGGGAGGCTACACCCCTGCAGGGACTCCCCGGGGAGGCGTCCACGCTGCCAGATGAGAGGTGGGCATTCGGGATGTTCGGCTGCTGAGGGGAGGCTGACGAGCCTGGCCCGGCTTTTTGGTTCAGTTGGGACGGAATCAGCAGGCTGCCGGGCACACTGTCCTCAGCATTGGTGGAGCAGTCTGCACTGTCCGTTGTTTTTCTACCAGAACAAATCTCCGACAGGCTTGGAGTTGCCCTAATGGAGGGGCTTGGTCCTGAAGATCCAGGCAGCGAGGACGGAGGTTTGGGAGATGTTGACAGAGGGGGAAGTGACGCCTGCTTGACATAACTTCCGAGGTTACTGCCGGCATCCTCCTGAGCAGCTCCCGGTGGCTCTTCATCAACTGCACAACGCAGAAGGGAATCAACAACAGGTTCACCCCCATCCAAGGGACTGCACCCACCAACAGGCGCGTTCTGGCGGCAAGGTTGGAGTCTGGCTTCCTGGCTGTCATTCCTGCCTTTGCTGCTGTAACCAGTCCCAGTGCTAGTTGGATGAGACACCTGCTGGGCTGTGCTCGGAGTTGCTCTCGCCATCAGGGTGTAGGGGCTGCTGAAGTCTCCTTGAGGTAGCATCCCTGGTTCCTGACCATCGCAACCCTCCAGTGGTGCGGGACTTGGTCTGGTCTCCGGAGCATCGCCTACTTTGTCCATCCAGTCTCGCCGGCAATCCTCACTGATGGGGGTCAGCCCTCCATCAGCCATGATGATGTAGCCGTCTTCCTCCCGCAGGTGCGTGTAGCTTCCACCGCTGCGGATACTCAAAGCGCTGTCCTTCCAACCACCATAGTGGTGGGGGTAGTCCCCTGCTGGGTCTGCCACAGGGTCTGGCAGGAAGGGGTCACTGGCAAGGAGGGCCTCTTGCTCCGTGGGTGCCAGGGAGTAGTTCTCGTTGACAAGGCTGTTCGTCCGGCGGGCACTCAGCAGTGGGTGCTTGTCGCTGCTCTCCGGGGGCTCCGGGATGGGCTCCTTGGCTAGGTCTTTGTCAATGACAAAGCCCTTGGCCTCTATGCCATTGCAGCAGGGGGCACTGTTCTCCGAGTCCGGGGTCAGGTCCACTATCAGGGTGGAGTTATTCAAATCGTCGTAGCTCTCTTTCTCGCGGGGAGGAGGTCGTCGGGGACCTCCAAACATGTACAGATTGTCCGCCTGTCAGGGAAAAAAGAACACAGAAAATGGAGTTATGGTCATGGAAATCAATCTCTTGATACAAAGACACAAATTAGAGAAGAGAATGAAGGATAAATGACATGGCACGTATGTGCACACCACAGGGTGCCTGAGCCTGTGTGTGCAGGTGGTGTAACCCTGCCAGAAGGATGCCATTGCTGTGTCAAAAAAAAATCATGCCGTTTCTTGGTCATGCTCAGTGCGGCTAATCAGAAACGCCTGCTAGAAAAATTGGAACTGCAGGCGCACACAATGCCTCAAAGGCGTCCTCTCCAAATTTACCTGGATGCTATTTGGCAGTCTGATATCAGGGATTTTGACCATTGATTTCTTGAACCGTTGCCAGGCGACAAGACTGATGATGAGAAACAAAAAGATCATCCCCGTTGCCAGAATGATGCCTACAACTTTCAGGGTGGAACCGTCAACTAAAGTAGGAAATACAGGTAAAAAAATATATACATCCTGTCAAGAGGGCACATATAATGCTTACTTCAATAGTCTGCATCAAGCCATGCCCAGGAAGGAAATATATCTGTCTTGCGCTCACGAGAGTCTACTGACTAGTCTTTCATCAAGCCACAGGCAGCTAAATAGGCTAACTTCCACATCTGGCGCAGGAGAGGGGCTGTCAACAAGACAAGTTTCCTAGACAGAGATGACTTGTGATTGCAAAAATCGAAACGGTACTTTTGGACAATGGACTGAGGGTTGGAGGGGGTTCCTTAATGTCAGGGCTCAAGATGGTTTAGACTGGCTTACCGGGTGAACTAGCTGGAACTTCACAACTCTCTTCATGAGTCGCCCCCACTGAGTTGTGTGCCATAATGGAAATGCGGTAGGCTTCGTATGGGTCTAGGCCTGCACAACACAGTGAACAGGGGGAGAAGTTTTAGTACAAGGAAATAAAGAGAGACGATTTTTGTTTTTGCTGTTTGTTGGCAGGTGTGTGTGAAAATTTTCCAGAGGGGGGCCTAGCTTTGTGGCCTTGTCGCAAGAGGGCACACAGTGAAGAGACTGTGTGCACTCCCTGCCACCAGAGTTTAAACCTGCTGTGCTCACTGAAAGCCCCCCAGTTTTTAACTGAATGTGCACATAACTGGCACCTCCATCTTTGCATATGTTCGTGGCAAGTACAGCAAGTTCCGCCCAGAACTATTTGCAAATTTGTTCATTTCCTTGCCCTTTCTTTCCTTCTCAATTTTGTAAAAGCCCCCAATTGGAGCCTCAAACCTCAGAGAAGCCACAAAATGTTGTGCGGAAAAACTGCTAATTTTTTGGGCCCATCCCCCCCAAAATAAGGTTCCTTCCCCCCCAAAAAATTTTGTTCTGGATCAGCATTTGTCTTGAAAGGGCTGAGCCAGCTGTTTGATAATCTTTCCCTTTGGAAAATGGAAAAATGATGTGTCTTTTCATTATGGCATTTTTGCCAGCATTCATAAGTTCAGTCACAGTTTCTTTCCCAAGGGTCAGTCACGAGTGACAGGAATGGTTTCGTCACATTTCATTTAACCGGCCTCTGACCTCCGCTCGGGACTAGACGGCACCTTCATGAGCTTTTGGGGACTTCTGTCTGACTCGACTACAACAGAGGTCATAGTCACAGAGGTTGTTGGGGGGGGTCAAGTTGGCGTAGTGGGTTCTCTCCTCACCGACCTCTGCTGTCCCGGGTTCGATTCCCGGCCTGGTCCACATGTGGATTGGGTTTTTCAGTCCCTACCTGATTCCGTGGGGTTTTACCCAGATTATTTACATGTACCTGGGTATTTCCCCCCCCCTCTAAAAACAGTAAAAGCTCTCATTGTCTCCTCTCTACAGGTTTCGTCAGGCTTGTGAGCTACGGTGCCTAGAAAAGCTTTTGAGGCATAGTTGGTGTCATTACCAGCAACCACAATAAAGAGAACAAAAAGAATTTGGTGGCAATGGATCCAAAGACTGAAAACAACGAGGACTAAACATGTGAATGAGATGGCCGGGTGCTATCCCATGGTTCCTGGCCCACCCACCTCTTTCCACATAACTGGACAGGTTGGTGGGGAGGTCTGACGTGTTGAACACAGTGGCGTTGATGCTGATGGTGTAAAACTGAACTAGTCCATTCATCTCATACACTGTTGGGGGCTGCAAGCAACAGTATGGTGAAAAAAATGAATTCGCCCTGAGGCCAAGTCAATTCAAACGCAAAAAGCATGGCGGCTTTTAGCTGATGCTGCAAAGGAATGTCAACAGCGTACCGAAGTGAATACGTAGTGCAAGAACGAGCACGTAAACCAACACGAATGCGCGCTCCAATCGTTTGTGTTACACTCCCTGGTTCAAAATGACGTCACACTTCGGAACTCTACACTTCACAAAAATGACTGCATATAGCCGCAAATGGGCTTAACCACTTACTGCAGGGTGTAATTTGAAGTTGCATGATATAAAACCGGGTGATTTTTAAGATTTTTCATTTTCAAAATTCTTCCAAATATCATAGCCTCATTTACTGGACGTTTACACTCACACGAATGACTATCTGGTGGCTACTCTAATCTGACAGACAACATCTACTGGTGCCTGAATATTTCAGCCAGGCCCGCCTCCTTGTAAAAAGAGCCCAGATTGTGCAAAGTTATATAATGTTCTTTTGTTCCCAGAACTGGCACAGTGCACTGCTGGCGTCTTTTCAATAGGGGCCAGATTGGTATGCAGTGGTACTGTATCGCTCATCACTGGAGCGCTGCAGTGCTTTTGTCCCCGGTGGTAATCCACTTGTGCTGAATACCACAATGCCATAATCTTTCAAAACAATGACTGATTGGCTCTGCTATTGACAACTGAAAACTATTGGCAATTCCCACCAGCTCGGTATTTGTTCAGAGTAAGGTCTTTTGTTACAAGGCTTTATCTCTTTTGTCCGATTTCAGGCTCACCCACTGTGCGTATAAAGAACATGTGTACCCGAAACTGGGCTCCCCGGCAGCATATGGTTAAGTCAATTAGTTCTGCAAAAAGAAGGCCAGAAATGTGGATGGACAACATGGACATTCACTGCTATAGACAGTAGGAAACCACTGTCTAACTTTAAACTCTTGCACAGCCTCTGCAGTCTGTCGGGCACCTCGATTACCTAAGATTGTAAATCTATGACCAAAGGTTGCCCATGCCCATAGCTGAATGTGCTTCATGAGTATTTCAACAAATTTTCTGGGTTTGGAGAAAGGTAGGACTTGACCAGACAACCCTAGCCAGCTGACCGACAAGGCCAGTCTGAGAGAGAGGTTGTTTTTATCAGGAGACAACCCCCACCATCTTGCCTACCTTCCAGGTGAGCTGGATGTCTCTTTTGCTGGCATCCGAGGAACTGAAATTGCAAGACAGCTGAAGTCTAACGTTGGGCGAGGGCGCTAAAATGAGACAGAAGCACAGCCACAGGAAAAGAAAAGGTACACATTACGCCATTTAAACCATGCATCTCCCCGAGTAATTTTGTGCATCAAACAATCCTCGACATTAACCCCTTGCAGAACACAAGGGTGCACTCCCGTGGACACTAATGTACCACTGCTGTGTTTTGCTAGCCGAGTGGTTACAGAAAATACAAACTTACAAAGCAGACGTTTGTTGGTAAAGTACAGAACCAGCCACTTTGCTGTTTTTCAGAAGGCTTTTGACACTGCCCAGCTTACAGTTTTTTTGCAATTTTTTGAACACCATGTGCGATTCTTTGAACACCATGTGCGATTCTTT